GTCAAGCACTACGCCGAGTGCATTTACGGCAGAAGACGCCGGACAGCTAAGAAGCCCGTTTATGTTTGTAAGTTACCTTCCTTTCTCTTTTTTTATTTTTTTTTAGGGAATCCGTCCTCTTGTCTTTGCTCTGTTGAGCTTTGACTTCGTCGACAATCCCCTGAGTATTTTTATCTTGGTGTATTCGTGTGTGTGTATGTGTGTCAGGCCCAGGTTTCTTGTGTGTTGGCCCAGGCTTTGTGCAGGGCTGCTCTCACCCTTTTGAGATTCAAGAAGGTCTGTATGCATATGCAATGCCAGTCTTCAGCAAGCCCTAGTCACACCCTGTGACCTGGTAAGCGCTGGCACTTTCACTCGGTTCTGATTCCCTGTCAGTGCATGCGTTCGCGCTCCCAGTGGGTCTTAGGCCCCACCTCAAGTGCCCGAGCAGCTAGATGGTGGGGGAGAAAGCGAGGACAACTGTCAGCGCGCTGCTCTCCTCACTACAATAAATATGAATGCGCTTGAATCTATCATGGTGCGCTGAAAGCCGTGGCTTAGAAAGTTTGCCAACTGACGGGATAACTCGGGCCTCCTATGTTGCTGCTTCTCTAGTACGCGTGTGTATGTGGGGAGATGGAGAACTGAGATTCAGGCTGCAATCGCTCCTTCTTAATGTGGCCTTTATGGCGCTCCCGCGCCAAATCGATGGTATCGCGATGAGATCACCGCTTGGACCTCTATTAGCCGATGCCTTTATGGGCAAACTGGAGAACAACAAAGTTTCCCATATTAAAGAGTACCTTCCTTCCTATGCGGATGATATATTTCTAATAGCAGATGGAAGACTTGATTTGGGCACTTTCTTATGTTAAGTGAATCAGGTGCACCCAGCGTTAACCATCGCTCAAGAAAAAGAGAACAGAAAGTGCCTCCCCTTTCTGGACGCCCTTCTTCGTAGAAGGTCTGATGGAACAATAAGTAGAAGTGTGTTTCGTAAGAAAACCTGGACAGATGGCTACTTAAGTAGTATGCCTCCTTATCATTGATTTTGACTGCCTTTATAAATTCATATATACTTTATGGAAAACATGCACGAAAAAATTATTTCTTGT